TTGATTGTATCCTTGCATACTTGGATCAAATGTGTCTTCATCATCACTGCTGCTTGTTGTGGTTTGGTGTTTTACTGGCGACGGTGACCTGTTTGATTTGGCTAGTTTAGACTTTCGTCTTCTATGCCTCTTTTTAGGTTGATCCTTTGATATGGAAGTCGATGATGATGACGATAATGAAGGCTCAACTTTTATACTAGCTTTAGGAGTGGGAGAGTGAAGTCTACTTCTCAATGGTTTTATTGGTTTTAAAACAGCATTAGCTGGAGGTAACAGACCATCTGTTTGAGACTGTTTCAATGGTAACACTCTAGGAAGAACATGAGGAATGTCATTCAAAGGAGGAGGGCAAGCAACATTGTTAGAAGAAACAACAGGAATTGCCTTATCATCTTCACTGTCTGAACTTGAGCTTGATGATGATTCTAAAATGCGAAATAATAAAGTAAGAATATTCCATGGACAAGCATATGCCTTACTTTGAATCTGTGGCTTAATCTTGGGAAGAGAGCTAGGTTTTATTGAGGGAACTAGAGGTGCTTTTTGAAGCTACAATGTTCAACAGTATAATGGGTTAATGGAACATTATGACTTACAGGAAGTGATTGATTGTTTGGAAGTAAAGATGAGGTATGGTTGGTTTTTTGAGCTTCAACTTTAAGGGGAGGTAAAGTATTTACTCTAGCAGAATAACTTGGTATACTAGGTCTGTGCATGCATAAACAAATAAAGTAATAACAAGTAAGAAACATTAATTTCCTTACTGTGTGGGTGGTTGCTTTGACAGTCTTTCTCTCTCAATATCACGAATACTGACAATAGCTTGAAGACTTTGTACTGGTAATTGTTCGAAAACCATCCCATTGACACTGACTGCAGTTTGACTTATAATTTCCAAATTTAAGTTCTGCTCATTGCTAACATTAAGCTCCTGGAGAATTGTTCTTTTCAGGCTATCAGTCTTAATCATTTTTGAGCCAAGATCAGTTTGAGATAGCATTAAGCAGACAGGTGAGCTAATAGCCTTACTATTATACAATCCTTTGCAAAAGTTTATTATTTTTTTTTGTTGTGTGTTCTTCAGTCTCATTCATTAGTAATGTATTGATTACTATCAATCGAGAGTTTCCAAAGAATCCTGGAAAAAGCAACTGAGTGAGTGATGTTGATAAACATGATTCTGTAGCAGCTTCATGGTCAGAAGAACTTAAGTTTAATAATGTGTTGTGTAAGGCAGTAAGACCATTATCAATACAAATTGAGTTTTCAGCATGAAACGTTTTGATTTGAGAGCCAGCAAGGTCAACGATTATCAGTTGTGATGCAAAGACTTCATCAACCCTTGAGTTGTTATTGCAGGATTCTATGGTGTAATGAAAAACAGCATGTGTACTGTGTGGTTTATAATCTCTCAATGGGTTGAGGGATCTTGTTGCTTCATCTGATCTTAAGACTCCAGTTGCATTTCTCATTAATTGTGCTTTTTCAAGTAAATTCACAACATCCTGTGTAGTCGTTAAAGATTGCTTTGTGGCGTCAGGAAAAATGAATTTGTCATCGATCCGTTTTGCTTGCAAGTTTCGCTTCCTTGCATCAAGAAGGTCTGCAACTTGCCCTCTGCTTGTTATGTGGTAGAAGCTACCTTTAATCTGAGCAATACTATTTTTGGAAGCTGCAGTCTTGATGAACTCATCCATGCAACGAACTATGATGCCTCTGGCTTTAGGGTTACTACGAGATTCGCCTGGGCTACCAAAAGCAGTGTATGATTTACCACTGGAGGGAAGACCATACAGCAGTATTATTAGACTATGACCCTCCATTGCCTCTCCAACCCAGTCAGACACAGCATCAGTGAAAAACTCACCATGTGCAACATTCTCTCCAAACTGCATCCCTTTAGCAGCTTCGACTAATTCCATATCTAGGACCCTGTGCTTTTCTCCCTCTTGGCATGGTTTGCATCTCAGGACTAGCCTTTGAGAGGACATTTTCTGTATTTGTTATGACTGGTTGCCAACAACACCTTCCCATGAATATCTGAAATTGAATTAAGGAGGTGTGGCTTGAGTTTATGATCGATCATAGATATTATAGACTACGTAACCGGGATTGGAAACTAGGATTCCCTGGTGGACAACGTCCGTGATTAAATTGGGCGTTAAATAGAATAATATTGACCATGTGGCTTGCTTTTCATGCGGAAATAATGAATTTTTGGTTTTAAAGCAGTACTGTAGTCAAATACAATGCATGAATTAAAATGCTAACCCCCCAATTCCATGCACACAATATCACCCTATCATCACCCAAAAGGAGAAACCTCTGCTTGTTTTATAAAAGCTGTAACAGGTACGACAGTGGACTGTTCGCAGAAACAGTATTTCAGATATTACTCCTCTCACATAGCAAATCAGTAAATGAAACTATGACAGTTCCATGCACAATGATTGTGGAAACATTTCCAATGATCTTGTTAGTCTATTTTTACCCGTGTAATGGAGCAACAGGTACAAAAAGTTTTGAAAATTTGCAAGTAACAGAAATTTGAACAATATCACAGTATATTTGCAAAATAACAATGGTATCATTATTTTTTTCATTATAGTCATGTTACACAAACACTAAAGTATTGAAATATTATTAAAATAACAAAAAATCAACATTGGTTTAAATACAGTCTTCCTTTGAATGTCGTCGATGAGTAGCCATTTTTTGACCACACCCACCAAAATCCAATCACGGACCCTGTGTCAGCCGGTTTGTACTGGTTTGAATGGATCACGTGACCTAGTTTCCAATCCCGGTTACGTAGTCTATAATATCTATGGATCGATATAAATTAAGAAGGTGTGGCACAATCGATAATTATTATTGCACTTGTGTGGGTGTGGGTGTGTGCTAATTTGACAAAACAATGGCCTTGGTGACTAACATATCTCAATGGATAGAAGAAAACAAGTCTTCATTTGTTCCTCCAGTCTGTAACAAGTTGATGTAAGTCATAGACCCTTCTCATCCTTAGTCACTGCCTTATTCTCACTCTCAGGCACGGGAAGGGTCAGTTGAAAATCATGTTTATTGGTGGACCAAATCAGCGCAAAGACTTTCACATTGATGAGGGAGAAGAGGTAATACTAGTAATACACACTTGTAGACTTTACCAGCCACATAATGCATAAGATTAATATTTGCATGTTTACTAGTGGCAATGCTGCAGTTATACAGGTTTGATGGGCATATACCACCCACACACCCACCAGACAGGAAGATTATCTAATCTATACCATGAGCTCCTGATACTAAGATTTCATAAACCACAATGAGTCTTAACCAAGGCTCCTGGTCTAACCCATGACATGCCCTACCCTTATCTATGGAGGCTTCATTGGCTTCATTGACTTACTTGTCAAAACACTCAACAGTGCTATAAAAACATACATATTCTATGGGCATATAACACCCACCACAGCACATGCACATCAAAGTAGCGCATGCCCATACATGCCCATAGGATAAGGTGATTTAATTATTTACTGGCACTAGGATAGGTTATTCTGTGAGTGACATCATTATGTTAAAGTTTGTTATATCACTCCTATATCTTCTGTGTGGTACAGGATGTTTTAAAAGACTCCCTTTGTAGGTTTATTTATGTAGATTACAGATTATAGGGAAAGTTTGAGAGATTTCATTAGTTAGGGCCCTTGTTTGTAATAGATTGTGATATCACATCTACTCTGTATTGCTGGAATTTGTTTTTTTTGTAACTATTTTTTATTATAGTTTTAGATTATGTGCACACAGTGAATAGGTAGTCTCGCTAGCCAGACCATTCCCCAGCCTATAGTCATTTGGGTCCATCCAAATGACTATAGGTGGGAAGGGTCTGGCTTGCGAGACTAGTGAATAGGTTTACCCACATTATTTTGGTATAGTACAGTTTAGTACTCATGCAGCTTCTTGTTCAATTTGCTCAAAAAATCTTGTACTATATACCAGTTGGTGCTAAGTATATTCATAGAATTTTGAATATTATTCATCGTGATACCGTAAATAAAGTAAAATTTTCCTGCCGCCATTTTGGAGTCTTAGTTACTAAGAGTAGAATGGGAGAAATTAATATCTTTGCTTCTATATGTTCTAGTGGCACTTATTAAAGTCCATGAGCCAACTCTAGACACTGGATGATGGTCAGTAAGCAGTAGCAATATTGCTGTAGTAGAAAAATACAGCAGTTTTTAGAGAATAAGCTCTTTCATGATTGCTCCATAGAAACCATTAGAAGTAGGACTCCAAAATGGCGGCAGGAAAATTTTACTTTATTTACGGTATCACAATGAATATACTCACAATTTTATGAATATACTTAGCGCCAACTGGTCTATTATAGTACACAGTCTTGGGCCAAATTTCACCAAAATTGAAAAGGAGAGAATTCTCAACTTTTATAATTTTTTCTGATACATATACATGTACTTATGTGGTGTAAAAAGTTTGAGCTGATTCCGATCAAATTCTGGTTTTTTATGAATTTTTAAAGTTGCTCCAAAATCAGGCAAAAGTCCCTGTACTATAGACCAGTTGGCGTTAAGTATATTCATAGAATTTTGAGTACCCGGTATATTCATGGTGATACTGTAAATAAAGTAAAATTTTCTTGCCGCCATTTTGGAGTCTTAGTTACTAAGAGTAGAATGGGAGAAAGTAATATCTTTGCTTCTATATCTTCTAGTGGCACTAAAGTTCATGAGCCAAGTCTAGACACTGGATGATGGTCAGTAAGCAGTAGCAATATTGCTGTAGCAAAAAAATACAGCAGTTTTTAGAGAATAAGCTCTTTCACGATTGCTCCATAGAAACCATTGGAAGTAGGACTCCAAAATGGCGGCAGGAAAATTTTACTTTATTTACGGTATCACAATGAATATACTCAAAATTCTATGAATATACTTAGCGCCAACTGGTCTATAGTTTGTCAAAGCAACCAGGAGAGAATTCTCTATTTTTATAATTTTTCTGATACAAATACATTTTCTTATGTTGTGTATCAACTTTGAGCTGATTCTAATCAAGTTTGGATGTTTTATGAATTTTATAAAGTTGCTAAAAAATCAGACCAACAACCAAAGACTAAATTTTGTCAAAAATGACCAAAAAAATAATTCTCAATTTTTATAATTTTTTGATACATACATGTATACAAATTTTTATGCTGTGTATCAACTTTTGCTAATTCCAATTAAATATGAATTTTTTGTGAATTTTTCAATTTGTTAAAAAGGCTGGATTTTGTCAAAAAGGGCTATGAGAGAATTTTTCATTTTTATACTTTTTCTAATACACACACATATTTTTGTTATCTATCAACTTGGAGCTGATTCTGGCAAAGTTTGAATTTTTTATGAATTTTAAAAGCTGCTCTAAATGCCATGTACTATAGTGCAGTGCTTGTGAACTCATGAAACATGCTGCTTTGTGGTAAATTCTGACAATGAAACATTGCTTTTCTCTTTTTTAGTTCTTCTATCAAAAGAAAGGTGACATGGTTTTGAAAGTCGTTGAAAAAGGTGTTCACAAAGATGTTGTCATAAAAGAAGGAGAGGTGCAATTATTATTATTATTATTATTATTATTATTATTATTATTACTTTTTTTTCTTCCTTTGATTTTCTTATTATTTTTGTCAGTGTTAATACATTTGCTGTTTTTTGTGTCATTGATTTTTCCTCTTCCCTGTTGCTGTTACCTTCGTTATTACTATTATTATTGTACGTTCTACTTTCATACACTTTCTTTTTTTAGGTATTTCTGCTCCCTAGTTGTATCCCTCACTCACCTCAGCGTTATGAAGGAACTGTTGGCTTTGTATGTTGTTATGAGATAATTAAATTAAGTATGTAAAATAGGGTCCCCTTATTTAGTGAGCAAATGTGCTCACCAAGACTATAATAGTAATTTTCACACCACCATTTTATTGCTGTTTAGCAGCATAGTTAGCAAGTCCTTAAGTAGTGGACTGAGCTATTTATAAAGAGAGGGTCCTCATATTACCCTCTTCCTTTGTGGTCGACTCAATGTAAATATGATTAGAGACCTTCACAGCACACATGTGTACATGTATCAAAGCAGTTAAATACAATGTATATTTATAAGACATCCTTAGTCTATAATCCAAACATAGGAATGACTATTTTGATGTGCCTAATGCTTAGTATAGTTAGTGAAAAAATAAAATGCATATATTAAGGCATTAAAGAGCAGGGTTTCTCACTGAGCATATGCTTTGTGAGCTAAAAAGCATGTACATGTACATGGCTTTTGAAGCAGCTTTTAAAATTCATGAAAAATTTCATTTTAATTTAATCAGTCAGAATTTTTATGCAGCACAAGAACATGTATGCATCAGGAAAAAGTAAATTTTCTCCTGACAATTTTTGATAAAATAATCTATGCTATAGTTTGTCAAATTTTCTAAATTTCATAAAAATTCAATGGACAACTATGTCAAAATCCTATGGGAAACCCTGTACTGAAGCCATGGGACTGTTATTTTTGCAAGAAATGTCTCAATTTTAGTTTAAAATGTAATTAATTTTACTATAGTTGAAACTGTACAATTACACAATGTACATTTAGGTAATGGAGAGGGAGAGGACAGAGGATGAAACTGATGGTCTCCGTTATTATGTTGATGGGACTACTGATGTGCTGTGGGAGGAATGGTTTCACTGCTATGATCTTGGTACTCAGCTAGGACCTGTCATTAAGAAGTGAGTGAGCCATTATTGGCATTGAGATAAAATTGTACAACTTTAAGTTGCATTTTCATTTTGAATTGTGTGAAAGCATTTATGATTATTTAATATAAACTCGATAGTTCAAAATTTATACTAGCTAAAATAAATTGTACGTGTACATTGTATTTTGAATGTCCTTAGGTTCTTTGCTTCTGATGAATACAAGACTGGACATCCACCTGAAGGTTTGTACTAAACAACAACAACAATAATAATAATAATAATAATAATAATAATGTCAATTATTGATTATTTAATTGTAGGTAAAGTATTCCCTCCTCCTCCTGTGAAATTGGATGTGACGACTTCAGTGATGAAGCCATTCAATCTTAATGAGGTATGTCATTGAATTGTATCTAGTAATAGCTGCAGGTCATTCTTTAATATTTAATTTGCCACACTGAGTTAATTGACAAACTTAATCAATTAGCATACATGTATCTCTTTACTTCATTATTATAGTGGATAAGAGATAATGAGCAAGAGATCAATTCCAAAGGAAATAAAATGCTTTTTGATTGGGACGGAGAATTTAAAGTATGCAAACATAAATCCTTCATGCCCCTTTAATGCTCTCTCTCATTTGATCTTTCCAATCAGTATTGTGTGTGGGGTAGTAATACAAAGCAAGAAGGACAGAACCAAGGAGAGACATTTCTCTGGCAATTGGTAAATTTTGTATCATATTAAAGTAAGATAAAAATGCATTAGAAAGGTGAGGCGACAGTGACAACTGACAAAGGGACAGTATCAATGGGTCCTGATTCATGTGTACTGCTTGGAGCTGGAGAAAAGTAATCAAAAATTATTTTAAATATAGTAATATTAACTATTATTAGGTATTCTGTTTCCATTGCTTCTGATGGGATCGGTATAACTGTCACTACTGATCCACTCGCTAATAAAAGAAAAAGCTAAATTACAAAACATTATGTATGTATGTGTGTATGTTCTGTTATAAATAGTGTCATTACATTATATTCAGTGTTTTGATTGTCTTCTTTCCTTATTTATTGCTACCCTCCAGTGAGGTAGTCCTTCAACTGCCTCCATACAACTCATAATATATTCAAACACGAGCCCAGCGATACCCCAGAAGGGAGCATACTCAAGTGTGATCAATCCATACACGTTGAATCTAAATTCAGAATAATCCCACGAATTAGCACCAAACCTGCTAAGTATCACACCACACGAGAACTCCCATGCATAAGTCAGCAGTATGTAGAATAGAATACGAACTGGAAGTGGATAATGATGCTTCTTAGCATATTGATAGACTGATTCAGCTAAAAGGAATGTACCAAATCCGTATATGAAGAAAGACCAGATAGAAGAGAAACCGTGTAGTGTTAGACCATTATTAGTTGATGCAAACAGTTCCCACAGACCAGTGAAAACCACTTCAATGAAGACACCATGAACTCCCCAGAAATACAACCTCATTGGCCATGGAAGCATATTCCTGTATCCTGCAAGCAGCCCCTCCTTCTCTTTATTGTTGACCACGCCCTTCAATATTATAAAAATGGCGTCCGCTGGAGAGATGTCAGATTCTGATTTCCGTGCTGTTTTTACTATACTGCCTCAGGTACTGAAACTAACCAAGGCTTTATTTAATAATGGGGACAGTCAAACTATTCATCAAACGGTACGTTGGCTATTGTTTAAATTACAATTATTTTTCTTGTAAAAATCATAATTTAATATAGTATTAATTTTAAAATAATTAAATTTACTCTACAGTCTGTGGAGCTCAATGCTCAATTGCAGAAGTGTCATCAAGTGGTTGATGCCACTCCTTGTCTCTCATACTCTTCAAAGGAACAAGCACTACTCCTTGAAGCAAGGAAACAATCACTTAAAGATCATGTGTATGTAATCCAACTAATTATTATTAATAATAAAATAATTTTCTTCCTCTTCTCCTCCTCCTCCTTTCTCTCTTTTCTTTAAGGATGTTACTAAAAGACATTAAGATACTTCCTCCTAGCAATTGATCACTCTTCAGTTATTTTTTTTGAATAATTTATTTTTAAGTAAGTACGAGTGTGTGTGTGGTTT